AATCTGAGACCGAAAGGAATTGTGGATTGTTGTAGCTGTAAATTGTTTGTGGTATTAATTACAGTGGAACCCCGTTAATAAGGACACCGTTGGGACTGACAAAACTGTCCTTATTAACGGGGCGTCCCTATTAACCGGGGTGTCAGAAAAACAGCTGAAAACACATTTTTAAACCATTYATTTTTACTGTGCTGTAAACCTTGAAATACAATGTTCAATACAACAGCCTAAACTGAAACAAAACTGCATATYACGGTACGAGCACGACATCATTTYTGYACTATACTGTACTGTGCTGTATAATTTCGTTTAAAGAAATCTGTGAAAAGGCCAAGACATTAAAACCGAGACTAAGTCATGGGAGGCGGCCAGATATGATTATGATTATTGAAACAGTGAGTGATAAAATTGTTAACTTGTAGTTGAGTTCTGGGAAATAACAGTGCAATGGTATTGCGAGCTTTGTCTATTTCATTATGCTGTAATAGCAAACTCTACTGCAATGATCAGTGTGTGGTCCGTTGATACGCAAAAACTGACGATATAATCYGTATTAAGCTCATTATATCAATAAACAAATACTGTAAAGACGTCTTCAAATTTGAAGTGTCCTTAAAGCGGAGTTGATTTTGTATGGAAACTGTCATTCAGGTCCTAGAAATGTGTCCTTTGAGCTTTCGTTGGGACTTTGAAACCTGTCCTTAATAACGAGGTGTCCTTATTAAGCGGGTGTCCTTATAGAGCGGGATTCCACTGTATAGTAGTTCACAAAAAGTTAATATCTTGATATACTAACTTTGAGCGATGACCTGGGCTGGAAAACTATCTGGATAAGTGTATATTGAATTTTGAACGAAAAAAACACTCATACTCGATAAACAACGTACACCATAACCTTCACTAACCACTCAAGCACAGGGGGACTAGCTCAAATGGTAGAGCGCTCGCTTAGCATGCGAGAGGTACCGGGATCGATACCCGGGTTCTCCAAGACTTTTCATTTTCAACTTTTCTAATGCTTTTTGTTGCTAATAGACCCGTTTCGAATTCCAAATTACCTCTGTTTTTCTTGATTACAGACTCATTTGCACAGGGTTAGCCTCGAGTTTGTGCAGAATATTCAYGTATCTCAGTCAAGGCCCGTCGAGTTTCAAAATTGTTGTATTGTTGAAGTTGTGCATTCTTTACTTTACCGTTGGTATTTGTGAATATTTAAACACTGATACGAGGCTAACCCTGTG